GTCAATGCAGATACACTGAGCTAGAATGAGCTTGTTGCTTTTTTGGTTTCCTCTACCCTGATTTGGATTGCTTGGTTTTTCCAAGCATAGAGAAAAAAGGGATATTGGATATGCACCCACTAACCTGATTACGACATTGTGGTACACATGATGTGTGTGTGGTAGTGAGCATTTCCACTATTCAGACATACAGTGTAACACTTATTCCTACTCCTGCAATATACTGTAGTAGTGTAGCTCTGTGACTCCATGTGCATGAGCAGTTATCAGTATCAGTGTCAGTGTCTCAGTCTGACAGTGCCAGGATGAATTCCTCTCGTGGAGTTTACGAGAGGTCTGCTAGCGGTACACTGACGACTCGGCAATGGGCAGCAAGTTCCCCCTCTGCTACCCTCAGCAGACCCCCTCCAAAGAACCCAGCCACTCCCTGGAACTGCTGCTACTGTGTGTGTGTGTGTGTGTGTGTGTGTGTGTGTGTGTGTGTGTGTGTGTGTGTGTGTGTGTGTGTGTGTGTGTGTGGTGTGTGTGCAGCAGCAGGGTTGTGGTTATGCTTCCCAGGGGTATCCAGTTGATGGGACTGAGCTCCCAGAATTCCCCAATCAAAGATGTAATTCTTACCCCTCTCCTATCTTTCCTGTATATCTTTCTTCCTCCATTTCACTGCTTTCCCCCTCCCTGTCCTGCCCCCCCTCTTCCTCTTCCTCTGCAACCCAATTGGAGGAGAGCCAGTTTTTTCTGCATCCACACCGTTAATTAAACCTTTGAAATATGTTTATGAGGTATGCATTTTGTACTACAGTTGGACTATCTACACACGCAGTTGCCAGGTGGCATATTATTTTTGTAGTTTTCTTATATTTCTTCTAGTGCTCTATCAAATGGATTTTATTGGCATTGCAGTACCAAACAGAATGCTGAGCAAAAATAATGGGTGAAATTGGATGGAATTTCCGAAACACAAGGAGGGGTGAAGCATCAGGAATGGGACTGACACAACTTACCAAACCTACGCTTGCTTGATCAACAATAAACACCAAATATGTGACTACTATGCATCAATGCTGTTTCATTATTCATGAGAATATCAGACTATTATGCTGTGACAGCTAAAAACATATCAACATTGACAAGCACTATAATCACCAGTAGCTTTCTCTCTTTCTCTTATGTCTCTCTCTCTCTCTCTCTCTCTCTCTCTCTCTCTCTCTCTCTCTCTCTCTCTCTCTCTCTTATGTCTTTCTCTCTCTCTCTCTCTCTCTCTTTTTCTCTTGTCTCTCTCTCTCGCTCTCTTTCTCTTCTGTCTCTCTCTCTCTCTTATGTCTCTCTCTCTCTCTCTTTATCTTATGTCTCTCTCTCTCTCTCTTTCTCTTATGTATCTCTCTCGCTCTCTCTCTCTTTCTCTTGTCTCTCTCTCTCTCTTTCTCTTATGTCTCTCTCTCACTCTCTCACTCTCTTATGTCTCTCTCTCTCACTCTTTCTCTCTTTCTCGTATGTCTCTCTCGCTCTCACACTGATGGGTAAAATCAATGTTAATGAACTGATGATTGAAGAAACGAAATTAATGTTAATAATGATGTATATACACTCACTAACTGTAAGTCGCTCTGGATAAGAGCGTCTGCTAAATGACTAAAATGTAAATGTAAATGTATAAGCATTGAGTTGCAATAAACATTTTGAGGGGAGGAGAATTCTGTACTGTGTTCTCATAGGATTCAAATCCTACATTCTCTAATAGACTCTTAACTAGGTCTCACTAACTAAAAAGACCACTTTGTTGAAATCTGGATGACACCTTCAGAGACTGTGGAACGTGTCCCCCAGAGTTGCCCTGGTTGTCGGAGGACGAGGAGTCTCTAAGATTAAAAAGCCCAATTTGCAATTACAGTTTTTCTCAATTGCTAAAACACTCAAACCCATTGGCTGAACAAAGTTCTCAGTTGCCTGGACTCATTTAGCTAATTATGCAGTCTGTTGTCAATACCTTAAACCATTTCACATGGTAAAACACAATTTGCAGATCTCACTTAGACTTTTCAGCAAAGCACATTCTCATTCTCAAAACACATTCTGCACTCTAATGCACATGTCATCCATACTGGTAAACACAAGTGGCAACAATCAAATACAAATAGAGAACATATGTCATTGATTGAACACAACCACTCAAAATGGATTTAACCTGTTTCAAATGATGCGACACAACCAATATAAGCCAGTTCAGAGAGCAAACAGGTTGTTGAAGGTGGGAAGGAGAAAGTATGAGAATGGATAGAAGAAACAATGTGAGAGGACGAGGACGAGTGCGTATGTGTCAGAAAACGGCGACAGTGAAATGCGGTCGGTGAAGTCATACGCAGGACACGGAGCTACTGGAAACCGTACTTTTAATAAAAGACGCCAGTAAAATACACAGTCTCCAAAACAACGGAGAAAACGAACGACCTGTACACTGTCGAATGACACAAACAATAACACACAACACATAATGCACGACAGAGGGTTAAATAGGGAATACAATACAACATAATGGGGAACAGGTGTACACAATCAGACACAACAAGTCAAACACCGAGACATAGATCGGTGGCAGCTAGTACTCCGGGGACGACGAACGCGAAGCCTGCCCGAGCAGGGAGGAGGAGCAGCCTCGGCTGAATCCGTGACAGTATGCGAGGTGGGCGACGAGGAGGAAGAGGAGGAGGAGGGCAAGAAAGAGGAAGAGGAGGACGAAGAGGAAGAGGAAGACAAAGAGTGGAAATATCTGATGAAATTCGAGCAACAGTCATAGACCATGTTCTTGTCCATGGACTGACAATGAGGGAAGCAGGACTTAGAGTGCAACCCAACTTGAGCCGATTTCTGTGTCCACCGTAGTAAGGACATTCAGAGAAGAGAACAGGTACAGTATACTACTGCATTTTTGTAATTGCACATTTACTGTACTACACTATATGCAGCTGTTTCAATAGACATTTGTAAAGTTAATCACTGTATGTATTGTACTGCATGAATATGTTTTGTAACTGCACAACTACTTTTTGTAGAATTGCAAGGCTGCCACATGCAGGTGGAAGGACAGCTATATTCACTCGGGAGTAAGGGGCCGTTATAGTTGGCATGGTCCTTCAAGATAATGCAATATGAATCAGAATAATCCAGGAACGAGTGATACAAGACAACACACACTTCCAGGGAATCGACAGTGTGAGCATTTCCACAATTGACCGTGTCCTCCATCGTAACAGGATGCGAATGAAACAAGTATTTGAGTACCTTTTGAGCGCAACTCACCAAGGGTGAAAGAACTGCGAGCTCAGTATGTGCAAGTAAGTGTACATTCATAAAAATTTACTGTAATCCAGATTGTCTACAGTACAAACACATACTATGTGAATGACATTACTCTTCAGTACATACAATGTATGTGAATCAGAAGTGCATACAGTAGGCCTAATTGTACTCTACAGTATAGCACTGTCTCTGTACGACTTACAAAATCCTACATACAGTATATTGTATTTCTACACAGACAATATTTTACTTGGAATCCTTGGACAGACCCCATGAGTTCATCTTTGTCGATGAAGCAGGCTTCAATCTAACAAAGAGGAGAAGGAGAGGCCGAAACATGATTGGACAGCGGGCCATTGTTGAAGTCCCTGGTCAACGAGGTGGAAATGTCACAATCTGTGCTGATATCAGCAACCATGGTGTTCTACATCACCATGTTACACTCGGGCCATATAACACCCAGCACCTTCTCAGATTTATTGCCAATCTAAGAGATATTTTATTTGAGCAGCAGGGTCAAGAGCTAAATGAGAATCCCATTCCCACCTATGTGATAGTGTGGGGCAATGTCAGTTTCCACCGAGCTGTTCAGGTAAGGGAATGGTTTAACATCAATGGGCAGTTTATGAACTTGTACCTCCCTCCATACTCGCCTTTCCTGAATCCGATTGAGGAGGTTTTCTCCTCTTGGAGATGGAAAGTGTATGATAGACAACCCTACACCAGAGTAAATCTGCTGCAAGCCATGGATTTAGCCTGTGGTGATATAGGTGAGGAATCATGTCAGGGCTGGATATGGCACACAAGAGGCTTCTTCCCCCATTGCCTCAGGAGGGACAATATTGCTTGTGATGTCGACGAAGTGCTCTGGCCTGACCCAGCCCAAAGACAAGAAGAAGCACATTGATCACATGTTTACTCCTTAGATTTTTGTCCCTTTTAGTATTGTTTACTGTAGTACAGTGCATTGTAGGCTGTATACTGTACAATGGACAAATTGTATGGCCCTGAACATTGTGCTTTCCATTTGTTAACAGTACTGACTGCTCAATATATTTTGACTGGTTGCAGGTTCATATCCACAAAGAACAAGAATTACAGTATCACAGAGACAAAGGACAAGTTTGTGAGATGCAGGGTACAGTACTGTAGAAATAGGGGTACAAGGAGGAGGAAGAACAAAAAACAAAATTGCAAAGAGCAAAGCAGAGTAGTAATTTCTGATCAATTTTGAGCTATTATGATAGAACATGTTTTCGTTCATCAAAAGACAATGACGGAAAAATATTAAATTTGTTTTGAGATTAAAAATGTACTTCTCCCTGAGAACTGTATGTTTTGAACAATGTGTTTTCTGTTTTTCGGTGTATTGTTTACTGGCTGCTTGAGAGTGTATATCATTTTGATCACTTTGTTTATGATTTGAGAGCAGTGTTTGATTTTGAACACAGGTAAAACTGTTTTGAGGCGAATGTTTCATTTTGCGAGAGGGGTCAGTGGTTTTGTAAATAGTGCTTGAAGATGAGGATTTGTGTTTAATGTTTTCAGGAAATGGAGCAAGGTTTCAGAAATTGTGTTTTAGCAATTGAGAAAAACTGTAACTGATGTACCTCCATGTTGTTAACTCTGGGCCCATTGTCATCATTATCAGTGAGTAAGAAATATATTAGTTGCTTACTCAGTTTAACAAGGTTTTGACATGAAAA